TAGGAAAATGGATGCATATTGAGGATATACTCTTAAGTGAAATAAATAAGTCACACATGTGTAAATACCAAATAGTTTCTCTGGTGTGAATAAACTATAATAGCACATAAGATCCTAATGATATAATGGACAATGTGAAATGGGAAGAAAAGGGCTAAAGGTTTAGGGAAAGTGGGAAGGGTAGGGGAAAGCTAATAAGGGAAAAGAAAAATATAAGAAAATGAAGAAATGGAAATGAAGTGTTTGTAAAGGGGGAGGGAGGAGGGGTGAAGGGACAAGGGGAAAAAATGAGAAACAAGACCTGTCTGTCATGTAAAGGTACAAGATCCCAATAATGAATGTAACTGTACTGTATACCTAAGATGTACCAATAAACTCAATGAGGAAAAAAAAAAAAACGAAACAGACTCTTAAGTTCTACAGTAGTACAGGGCCATTTAACATAGGAGGAAGCAGAATCACAAATGTCAACAGTTCCCAAGGTTGAAAGCACAGTTAAGGCTGAAGGCTTTAAAGATAACTGAATAGGAAAAGATACCATTGGCAGAGTGTAAGCTAATAGTCTAGTGCTTATTATGTGCCAGACATGGATCTAATCGATTTACAAGTGTTAATCTTATTTGGTATGATTCTTTTTCAAACCTATATAAAAATGCTGTATGCTCAGTTTTGCTTTGCTCACATCTCTGGGTTTTGTTGCCTTTCTGTCTGGGAACCCTTTACCCCCCAACATGGATAACTTGCATTTAGATCTCAGCTTAATGTCTCCTACTCTGATAAACTTTAATACAATCCTTGGGCTGGGGATTTAGCTCAGTGGTTCCACTGCCTGCCTTGCATGCACAAGGACCCAAGTTTGATCCCCAGTACCAAAACAAAACAAAAAAAACCCAAAACAAAACAAAACAAAACAAAAATACAATCTTTAGCGCACATGATGACAGGTTTGATAATGTAATTATATACTCCTACAGTACCTAAGCATGGACTCAGGACCCATTTCCTATTCAAATTCTGGCTCTGATACTCACTAACTATAGCTTTTTTGTTCCCGCATGTGTAATGTGGGGATATTTCTTGCTATTATTGTTGTGAGAATTAAGTTAATTAATATATAGGGAGTCTTTAAGAGTGCCATGCACCTAATAAATGTGTCAGGGATTTTTATTATTAATACTATGCTAGATTTATTCTTTCATTGCACTTATCACATTTTGAAATTGTTTTTCTGTTCTACTACACACCTTGGTTTCATATAATTAAGAGACAAGGATGAGCTAGCGATTTAGCTCAGTGGTTCTGGCACCTGCCTTGCAATCGCCAGGACCCGAGTTCTATCCCCAGTACCAAAAAAAAAAAAAAAAAAAAGAAAAAGAGACAAGGAGAAAAGGTTGGTTTTGTTTAGTATTGCCAGAACTAATTAGCATAAACTAACTGAACTTATTTAGAAACATTCAATTACATGCAATACCTTACTTATGCTAGGTAAATAATTATTTCATTTTAATAGGTTATATTAACTCATATCTTAGAAAGTTATTTTTTTCTTTTGAACAATAAAAAAAATCTATGCTTGTTTTCATGACAGAATGCCCACAATGAAGTTACATGACTGAAAGTCAGAGAAAAGATGAATTAACCTACCTGGCTCAGAGCTACAATGCATTTAGTATATTAAAGCAGCTGACACGATGACTTTTTGCGGGCCTTCCCAGGCACTGGAGTTTTTCTGTTAATTTGCCGTACTAGGTCATAAAAGATCTGCAAATATATGCATTTTTTTAATTTATAGGAGGAACAAACACCCCAAAAATGAAAAAGTAGAATAAAAAAGAAAAAGAAACTTCCATGGATAGAAATGAACCTGCAGAAAATAAATATTCTGTTCAGTTAAGGAATGAGAGTAAAATCAGGTGTTCTTTGTTCTTTGTTGTTGTTGTTATTTTTTTTGAGACAGGGTCTCACTATGTAGTCGAGACTGACCTGGAACTATGTAGCTCAGGCTGGTCTCGAACTCACAGCGATCCTCCTGCCTCAGCCTCCCAAATGCTAGGATTACAGGCGTGCGCCACTACGCCCAGCAAAATCAGGTGTTCTTTTAAGTGTCAAGTTTCTTTCTATTTATTTCTGGGGAAGAATTAAAATTACTCTCTTTAAAACAAGTACTTAGTTGAAGGAACTGCAAAGATCTTAGTTTAGTTAGAACAGTTACCATCAAACAAAGAAAAAAAATCCTTTTCTTCAATCAATGTCTTTTGAGCCCCTTCAATAATGATGCACATCTTTTTGAAGTTTAGTCTTTTATATAAAATCCCCACCCCTACTTTCTGTCTAGCTTTACTTTTTCATAAATTTCTACTGTATCAGCATTTATTAGAGACAGAGTATCATTATTTATGCACATACATAATTTTTTTTCCCTCTAAGATTAACATGTCACCCAAGTACATATTAACTTGGTGCTGAATTAATGTACATACATTTTTCTAGTAATTTAAAATGTTATAGGGCCAGGGATTTAGCTCAGTGGCACTGCACCTGCTTGGCAAGCACAAAGTCCAGAGTTCGATCCCTGGTAACCCCCCTAAAAGTTATTCTCCACATACAGAGCTATTTTAAGTATATCTGACCATACCTCATTAACATTTATTTTTGACTTTGCAGAAGATTCTAAGAATGCACAGTTGTTCCACTGTCTCGCTAGATTTTGACCTTGTTCCTTTCCTACAACTCTTTCATCTTCCAAGTCACATTTATTACCAACCAGAATCATCGGCACCTAAAAAGACATTTGTGAGAATAAGAATAAGTATACTATACAACTTCAAATAAAAAGAATTCTAATAATCAACTCAAAGGATTACTTTCCTTATTATGCTAGAAAAAAAGCACTAAATTAATAAAATGCAGTTAAAATATGGGAATCTTAATAAATGTTTTTTGTTAAGACTTAAATAGCACTGACTTTCAGATCAACTATACCGTCAATCACCTACACTGTTTTCACAGGAAAATTAACAACTGATAACTGCAAAGGGAAGTAAAGAGAACAATGAAATTCTCATATATGTAAAACAGATATAACCTAATCAACGTTGATTCAAGTAAGAGCCAATCACAGGAAATTTTTAGAAATAAGTTGTGACCTATTTACAAAAACGGAAAATTCTATCACAGTGGACTTATAAATAATTATGGTAACTAAAACACAATTTCTTTAGAAGGAAGTACAAAGGACATTACAGTAAAGAGCAAATCTATTTCAACATTTTAAAGTTTTTTTTTAAGGGTGTGAATCAACTTCAAGTTTTCTGGTTTCCTGACATGAATTGATCAATTGCATAACACAAAAAGAAGAAATCTGGAAGGTCCCTGAAGAATTTTTAAATTTCTCAGCCAGGCATGGTGGTACACACCTGTAATCCCAGTACTCTGGGAGGATACGTTAGGAGGATTACGGCAGCCTGGGCAACAGAGTGAGACCTTGTCTCAAAAAACATAAAGAAAGAAAAAGAAAAAAAACCAAGCCAAAACAAAACAAAAAACCTAAGAATTTATTTAGCTTCTATCTTTTATAGTCTTGTGTTAAAAAACCAGAAAGATCAACTTAATTTACTAAAAATCAAGGCTACTTATCAATGCCACCATGTGTCTGGATATATGTGATTCTTATAATTTTAAAAGAACACTGTAGGGAAAAATAATGCATATTCTATCAAAACACTACTGCTTAAAAATCAGTTTTATAAGTTGCTTTTTTGTTTGAGGCAAGGTCTCACTTTGTAGTTCAGACTGGCCTTGAGCATACTATGTAGCCCAGGATAGCCTCAAACTCATGGTGACTCCTGCCTCAGCCTTGAAAGTGCTGGGAATTACAGGTGTGTACCACCACGCACAGCTCTAAATTGCTTTTTTGAAAAAAGTCTAAATCAGAAAAAACTTTGGTGTTTTAGAAATAAATTTAGTTTATTAATAGGTATTTAGTAAACAGCTGCTAATTGCAACTGACAGAAGGAAGTATGACGATGTCTCCAAATTCCCGATTGAGAAATCCAGAAAATGACAGGATTTACCATGGGTGTCTCTTAGTTCCCATAACGGTAGCTACAAGGGAACCATAGTACAGCAGTTCAGCCAGATCAGCAGCCATCAAGGCCTCCTGCAAACATGTTAGACAGAAATGCATGTTTCCTGGGCCTGCTCAGGCCTACTGAGGCAGATACTCAAGGGCTGGGTCCAGCAATCTATTTTAACCAGTACTACTATTATTCTAAAGCAAGAGCAATTTTAAGTATCACATACTGAGGAATTAAAACATTTTTTTTGAGGTTTCCAATAGGATTGATTATATTCCATTTTGTTACATTCCGAAGGGGAACACAAATTAATGTTGGACTCTAATGTATTTTTTACTTTCCTTTAAAACTTTATGCTCCTGTCACAGTTGCATATATGTTCATATGTATAATTTTTGTTAAGGCTCTTAAATGTAACAGAATTATGTCTAGAACATAATCTGCTCTATTAGTAACATCTGCCTCCTACACGTCCCCTTCCTTTCCATAAGATGCAGTTTAAAAATAGGAAGGGCATAACATTTAATTTTCACAAGATAAGGGAAAAGGTGGGCATGTATCACTTTCTGGATGACATATACTGAAAAACATGTATAAACATTAAAGATGTATTTCTGCCTCTCAAAGCTTCTAAAAAACAATTACCCCCATCTCAAATATATGAGCTTTAAATTGCTTAAATTTAAACTTTAAAATTGGATACCAGTATAAAAAGGGACTTGAAATAAAACATTTATTAGAAGTCAGCTTACATCATCAGTGTCTTTAACTCGAAGAATCTGTTCTCTCAGATCTTGTAAATCATTAAATGTGGACTGTGCTGTGATGGAATAAACTAAAGCAAAGCCTTGTCCATTTTTCATGTACAAATCTCTCATTGCTGTAAATTGTTCCTACAAGTAAAAAGAAAGGAACTTTAAAAAATAAGAATGTTTTGAGTTAATCTGACTATTTTCAAAGTCTATAATTATAGCTCAATGAAGAATATTGCAGCATTATGTAACATTTCTTAAAATTAAAGTCCGTGGCAAGATACTATTTGAAAAATTGGTATTTCAAGAAAATAGGCTTTAAGCTGGGCATGGTGGCATATGCCTATAATCTCAGTACTCGGGAGGCTGAGGTAGGAGGATCACTGTGAGTTCCAGGCCAGCCTGCATTACATAGTGAGTTCAAGGCCAGCCTGAACTGCATAGGCAGACCTTGTCTCAGAAAAAGAGAGGGGGTAGGGGGTGGAAGGGAGGGAGACAGGGGGAGGGGGGATGGCGGAAAGGGAGAGGGAGAGGGTCAGTTTAATAAAAAACAAAAAAAACCAAACATTTGTATAAATATTCTCATGTGGAACTAAACAGTATGTCTTTGAAAGCTAGTAAAAGTCAGGTTTTTATATCAAGTGTAGAGTATTCCAATTGTATCCTCAAGTTACAGCTAGCTCACAATGCTCTTGTTCTGTGCGGTGTATCAGCATGTGTACCTTTATCTTGCCATTTCCTCACACTTTATTTTTGGTACCCAGGACTGAACTCAGGACCTTGTGCTTGCAAGGCAGGTAGCAGCACCACTGAGCTAAATCCCTGGCCCTCCTTACACTTCTTTACCGGACTAGGAGCATCTGAAGGTAAGAGCATGGTGCTGGGTGCATACTGGTACTCAAACACCAGCTGAATGCATACCAAACATACAGAATACATTTTCCCTTTACTTTTGGATACGGTATTTACAAATCTAGTTGCTAGGCTGGGATAGTTTGATTATCCCCTAAGGCTTCATGTATGGATGTTTATTCTTCACTATAAGGAATGACAAGAGTGTAAGTGAAACTTAGTCTGACCCTAATATTTAAAGGTGGGGTCTGTGGAAAGTGATTAGGACCCCCCCACTGACGTAGAGGATTTATAAGTAGAGGGAGAGACACAGACAGATAATGCTCCTTGTCTTTTGCTATGTAATGCTCTGTATTGCCTCAGGCCTCTGTCAGAAGAAGGCCATCACCATACACTACTGAGAACTTGCACTCTTTTCTTTATAAAGTAAGCCTCCCTCAAGTATGTCATTACAGTAACAAAGGAGTGAATACACTGGCCAAAAAATACTTCTGAAGAGGAAAGATATCAACTAAAACCTTTCATAGAGCCACTGAGAAATGAAAAGTATGAGAAAGAGTTTACATATATAGTAAAAGTACTAGCGAAACTGAAAATTTTCATACTAACACATTTAAAAAAAATTTTTTTTTTTTTGGGTACCAGGGATTGAACTCAGGACCTTGCGTTTGTGAGGCAGATGGTGGAATCATGGGCTAAATCCCTGGCCCTCACACTTTATAAATTCTTCAACAACTAATCCATTGGAACTTTAGAGTGTAACATTAAAAAAAGTAGAATTCAAGAAAATTATAGGGCCGGGGATTTAGCTCAGTGGTTTGGTGGCCTGCCTTGCAAGCGCAAAGACCCGAGTTCAATCCCCAGTACCAAAAAAAAATTAGAAAACAGCTTTAAATATTAATATTAGTAACTTTTAAATAAGCTTAACTAGTATCATCTACAAAGTAATAGCTTTAAAAGTCAATACTGTACAAACTGCATAAAGTGTGATAGTTTGTTTTTACATACCGTTCCTGCAGTATCCAAAATTTCAAGCATACACTGCTGTGCATCTACTTCAACTTGCTGAGGGAAAAATCAAATACATCTTTATTTTTTATTTATATAAAACTACCTTAAACATACACAAGTTATTAAAAACACATACAGATTATAATAACCATATAAGATAGCATCAATATCAACAAGTTTGTCTTAGTTTCAATTACTCAGTTAATTCCAAAGAAAATTCAAAATATCTCAAAACCAGTAAAAATTCCAATAATATCAGCAATGATTTTGACTAATTTTCTCATAATGCTTCAGATATACTTTTTTTTTTTTTTTTTTTTTTTTTTTTTTTGGTTTTTTGAGACAGGGTTTGCTTTGTAGTACAGGCTGGCCTTGAACTTGTATAAATTCTCCTGCCTCAGCCTCCCAAGGGCTGGGATAACAGGCTGCTCCATCACACCTGGCTCTCAGATATACTTTTTATTGTCTAGTTAACTTTATTCCCTCAGTATACTGGAACAAGATTTCTCGTAGGAACAAAGCAGTGCTATCACTATAAAAAAAGCTGTATTTTTCTGTCACCCCATTTAACCTAATTATTTCCTAGGGAAAAGTATTATTTAGAATAAATTTCAGAGCTGGGGTGCAGGAAGGAGTTTCTAGTATTTCTGGTAGACTGTAGACATAGAGAAATGAAACACAATATTTAAATAACATTTAAATTAACGGTAGGAACAAGACTGACTGCTACCTGAAGGTGGGGAGATAACTCTCCCACTGAATTAAAAACATCTGCACATTATTTACTGTCATACACTGTATTAACAGACATAAAAATTCACCTTTCTACAGTGAGCAATGACACTTTCTCAAGGATGTAGTAAACAGGAAGGTTAGGGACGTCTGTATGGGTTTCTCCAGATTAAAAAATGGAGCTTGAGAGCAATCATTCTAGGTGGCAGGGAATAAGAGGTTGGCACTTGATATGAATGGCTTGGCTCTAAAGTTTATGTGTCAAGAGTCACAGTTCTCAGGTCAGTTTTCTGTGTGTGCTTGTGTTTTATTCCTTTTTTGGCGGGTACCGGGGATCAAACTCAGGACTTTGTGCTTGCGAGGCAGGCGCAAAGCCACTGAGCTAAATCTCTGGCCCCTGTGTTTTATTCCTAACTGGCAAATATGTAATGCCAGGAAAAATGTGAACTTTTACCACCTATTTTCTAAATTAACTGTCTCTTTATCCTCCTTTGTATGTAATATCTAATAATTGTAAAGGTCAAAAAATATTTACATTTACATTAAAACCAAAAGGTCTTTTAAAGTAACATATACCTTTCTATAAGAATCTTCTATCGTAGGATCATACTTTTCAACAAAAATTCCTTGAACAAACTGTACAGTCTGAAAAAAATTAACATGCCATTATATTTCTAAGGAAAAGAACATATCCAAGTCTCTAAATTTAAATTATAGTTGACCCTCTATATCTACGGTTCTGCACCTTAAGATCGAACCAATGGAGGATAAAAAATATTCAGGGGTGGCACACATTGTAATCCCAGTTACTCAGGAGGATCAGATGGGAAGATCACAAGTTGGAAGTAAGCTTGGACAACTTAGTTGAGAGCCTGTCTCAAAATAACAAAAAACAAACAAAAAAGCTGGAGATGTGGTAGACCCTTACTTACTTGGTTAATATGTACTAAGGCCTGGGTTCAAAGCCCCGTACTGAAATAAAATAAATAAAAATAAAAATCCAGGGAGACAGGATGGTCACAGACTGGATCTATACTAAATATACAATAAAATATTTATATTGCATTAAATATTATAATTTTGTGCAACACACACACATGCACAGGCCAACCCAGCTCCCCAGTACTTCAGATACAGATTTTGTTTTATTTTTGGTATCAGGGATTGAATTCAGGACCTTGTGCTTATAAGGCAGATGCTGTACCACTGAGCTAAAATCCCTGCCCCAGATACAAATTTTAAAAAACAGCTCATGCCATGGGGGGAGGGTGCAGATCTTACCATGTTGCCTATGCTGATCTTGAGCTCCTGGGCTCAAGTGATCCTTGCACTTCAGCCACCTAAGTGCTGAGACTACAGGTGTGCACCACTACACATGGCTCATGTTGTATTACATCCATCTCACAGTTTGATCTAAACATGTCAAGTTCTGTCCTGGATGGCTACTTTAAGTGACCAAGGTAAGATGGCTTATCTCCATAAGGAGAAAAAGAAGGTCAATCTATGTTATGAGTCTCTGCCAAACTTTGAATCAAAGTGATTTTCCCAAAGTCCCTTTTCCCAATCCTCATCACGAAGTTATTTCTTTATTCTTGCTATCCCATTCCTTTATGCTAAAAACATGACCTTAAAATAATGCAAAATTAGTCAAAGGTAACAACTGAAACTTTATAAGCTTTTGACATTTTCTATCATAAAATACATAAGATTCGTCCTAATAAGAAAAACCAAAATTCATTCCTATCTGGCCCTAAAATGCAAATAGACATATCTTTATACACTGTCTCACTGTGTGCTTAGCCCAAACTACATTCTGGCATACCTGAAATATGATCGTCCCAGATATACTACTAAAAATCAACTAAAATCACAACAAAAATATCACATTCTTTCTAAAGTTATTAGGGATTTCACCTTAACAAATAAAGACAAATAACCAAAACCTAAATCTCAATAGGAAAAGAACATCTTAGAATGAAAGCTCAGTTCAGCTGAGAATAACTTACCAGAGCAGACTTTCCAACACCTCCTGAGCCAAGAACGACTAGCTTATACTCACGCATTATGCCAACGTATCAAACTGAGTACCTTGTTAAAGAAGAAAAAAGACTTAAGTCATGGTATTTATGTGCTTATAAAAATACGACAGTTGTACAAGATTTATTTAAAATGATTACTACACCATACTAATATGGAACACTCTATAAACAGACTTACTACAGAACTATGGGTGGTACTTTCTGTGGTTTCTTTCATGCTATAACAGCAGAGTTAAATAGTTACAACAGAGGCCATCTGGTCCATAAAGCCTAAATTATTTATTATCTGGCCAATTCCTGGGAATGATGAATGATAAATGTTAAGCTGGCAGAGGAAGCAGAAGACCACATTTATTATTTTTGAAATGGGTGGAATTATAGTTAAAGAACCTGAAATTTCTGAAATCAGAAACATCACCAAAATGAATTCCCAGACTAAAGAAGTCATCAAGCTTTCAGAAGAATGAAACAATGGAAACCAAACAGAAACAACCCAAACCAATGCTTATTACTGAGAAGTTTCAATAATACTATGGATAGTCTAAACATTTCCAGAATAGGAAACTATGAGAATAAAAACTTTCACATTTCTGGAAACACGAAATGATCAGTAGCACAAAAAATAATAACCAGAACAATCTTAATTAGGGTTGGGGGTGTAGCTTACCTTCTACCCATCCCTCCCCAAAAACCCTAGCCCCTCCCCATGTCTTTCTTGGTAGCAAATCTAGAACTTGCTTAAGGAAACTGAATCAACCAATTACAATTTACCTCAGTGAACATGCTTCCGCAAAGTAACCCATTACTGCTGTCACCTTATTTCTGAAAGTTAGCTAATTAAAATGGACACACTTTAATGAAAACATTGTGAATGCCAAATAACTATCACAGGTCTTTGTATAAGGTAATCAATCAGCCCTTTTGGTTTTGGACTTGGAATTATACTATAGTACTTGATAATTAGTTTTATAATTAGTTTAATTCTTCTGCTACTTTAACTTCTGTGTATCTGTGCAAAGTTTTGTCCTAGGCTGCCATTTTCCATTTACTAAGTGCTGTTCTACAGGGAGAAGATGGAACACAGGACCATGAGCCCTTCAATCCAATTGAAGCGGGCCCCAAGTACTCAAGATTTAAAAGGAATAAAACCAGTAACAGGGATGGGGATTTAGCTCAGTGCTTCCACCGCCTGCCTCACAAGCGTTTGAGTTCAATCCCTAGTACCAAAAACAAAAACAAAAACAAAAACAAAAACAACCCAGTAACATTCAGGCAGAAGTAAGCAACTGCTCAACTATTCATCTGGGATCAGCTATGAAAACCTGATAATGGCAATCATTTTGTGAATTTATAATCATTATTTATTTTATCAAAAGTAATAATAATTGTGAGGCTGGTGATTACACAGCCTCTTTCCACCATTTGTTTGGGCAGAGAATCTGAGAATTTATTAGAATGTATTTAAGAAAAATTAAACATTCAAAACATTTTCATTTACTGGACTACTTTACATCTAGTGAAAGAAATAACATGTCTCACAAATTACAGTTGTGCCAATATCCATATAACCCACAAAGGCATCCTTCATTAAGACTTAAAACACTTCTATCATACAGGTAGGAAATTCCAATGTACCTTTTCTCTCTTGAGACATCTTTTCTTGCCTATAGTAACCTCTCATTTGTCATGGGTTTACACTGCCGAACATCCTCTTAGAAGTTCTTTTGTGAACTCTTAATATAATCTTTACCCCACTGCATCACTTGCAGTACTGGGATTGAACCCAGGCCTTTGCACTGAGCTGAATTCCATTCCTACCCATGTTTGAGAAAGGATCGTGCTAAAGCTAATAAACTGTCCAAGCTGGGCTTGAATTTGAGATATTCTGGTCTAAGTCTTTCAGAATACCTGGATTGCAGGCATATGCCACCACACCCAGCTTAACCTTAACTCTTGCACTTACATGGTTAATGACAAAAATTGTGACTTAACAATTAGACACATGGCCAACTTTTCAAATGTCACAATACTTTACAAGAAACTATATAAAAATTATGAGACAAAATATCATTCGATAATCAACTTCTTCAACTGGTATTTGTAGTAGATTAAATAATGGTCAACTTGTTAATGTCCAGCTGAACTGAATCAGCATGGTCTGTGTGGATTCATAACAATCCACCTAAGGACTGTTACCAATAGCCATAAAATGAAAACTGGAGGGGAACATTGAGGGCTATTGATTTTCTAGGAGAAGCTTGCTGCAGATAGTTTTCCTGATGCAAATTTGGCTATTCTCAGAGGAGTTCGGGGCCTCATTGCCACTGGAAATGGCTGCTGTTCTTGTCAGGGTAGCTCTGATCTTCACTGTGAGCACCACTTCCTGGCTCCAGTATAGATCCTTCAGCCTGATGGCACAAATCCTTCACCCCACAGGCACAAGTTTTTGGTTTCCACCACTGGCCTTTGGGCCTTCCAGGTACAGATCCTTCATATGGACAAATATGAGACACTGCTGTGGGCTGGACTCATGGAGGACATTGCCTTGGACTCTAAGCCTTTAGGGGGACTTGTGTGGGGGACACTGTTGTGGGATCTAGGCCCTTGGCTGGATTCTCTGGGCCTCTAGTGTATGGCTAATCTCTTGCACTCCTTTGTATTTGACTTTTTGGGTAAATATCATAAAATAATCATAGTAAGTTATGTGTCCTGTATTAAATGTATTCCCTTGCCAAAATCCTGATTACAAAAGTATTTTAGGGCATCAAAAAAAGACTAAGATATTTTTCCCTGCTCAAACCTTCAGAAAACTATTCGTTGAATCATTCTATTTACAGTACTCATACAACCATTCTTTATCTGTTGCTTTTTTCTCTTCTTACCTGTGAAATTACCTTTATTGAGAGTTTCTTGGAAAGGAGCAATTACACAATAGCCTCTTTGAATTGCTAGAACAAAGCTCACATCTATAGAAATTAATTTAAACTCTAGTAAAGATTTTCCTAAATCTCAAAGACTGACAGAAATGTACTGCAGAGTTCAGGAATCTGTTACCTACTCTTCTGGAATGCTAGATCTATACTAGCCCTTCAATATGAGAAAATGATTAAATGCAATGGGATAGGAAGGACCAGGAAATTTAAGTAATTCAGCATTTTAAAATTTATTTAAAAATTTTTTAAATTAAAAAAAATTTAACAGCATTTTTTTTAAAAAACAAAAACTGACCTTAAAAAAAAAAAAAAAAAGATTTAAGTAATACATTAAGGGGCTAGAGATTTAGCTCAGTGGTTCCACTGCGCACCTCACAAACACAAAGTCCTGAGTTCAATTTCCGGTATAAAAAAAAAAATTATTAGTCAGGTATACTCCTGTAATCACAGCACTGAGGAGGCTGAGGCAGGAGGATTGCTGCAAATTTTAGGCCAGCTTGAACTACACAGTTTGTTCAAGGCCAGCCTGAGCTATATATAGGTGATAGGATAGTGATTGTTTTTCTTTTACTTTTGCTTATGTTTTTTTGATACTATTATTAGTAAACATAAAAATTTATAAAACACAAATGAAAATACAAAAAACCTGAAAGTCGAAGGAGTCCTGAGTCAGTCATGGTAGTGATGCCTACAATCTCAGCATTAGCTTATGCAACTGAGCAATTTAGTTCAGAATGTCTCAAAATAAAAAAAATAAAAAGAGCTGGGAATGTTGCTCAACGCAAAGGCTCTGGGCTCAGCCACCAGGCACTATGCACCCTCCCCTCTACCCCATGGCCACCTGCCAAATTTAAAGTTATTTTCCGTATTACTACTGACATTAATAAAAGTAACAAGAAGGATCTTATTTCTTGCAAAAAGCCTGAGTACCCAACTCATTTGTTTCAAAGTTTACTTATCACTTGTAAAACTTTCTCCATTACTTTGCTTTGCTTGCACTAGGTTCTTTAAAAAAAATCAGCTTACGAGGTTAATTCTACCTCCAGAGTAAACCACAGCAAAGACAAGGAAACATGACCTGTTAGGGCTCCTTCCAAGGGCCTGCTTCATAAATACTTGAAATGAAAAGGAAGAAAAGGCACAATCATTCTACACTAAATTTAGTAAATTTATCTAAGATAGCACTTCAAGCAAATTAACTGGTACAGTCACAAAAATATTGTGATGCTATAATGATTTTGAAGTAACAGAATCCTGGAGATTTATGAGTCAAAGAAAATGAAAACTGAACAATGATTTAATCTAAATATATTCACTATACGAAAGCACACATCAAAAGCAAATAATGATTTACTCACAATTCTAGATTACCTACATTACTTATTAACAAGACCCAAATAAGAATCAACTGCAGAGAGTGATCCACATTATGAACTACCAGAATGTAAAAATCATTGAGGAAATTAGAAAGCTTAACAAAATGATATCTATTGGTGATAACATTTACTGAGGCCATATTGTTCCAAAAACTGTTCTAGAACCAGATCAGAAAAGAATCTAAGAAATGACACCTTCCACCAAGACTACTGTAATTCAACGTTAAATGCCCAACATTAATAACTGTATCTCTAGTACTGTTCTGCACAATAGGAATAAGCAGTGAACAAAAGATCCTGTCCTCAGAATTTATACTCTAGAAGAGGACAAAGTCCCTATAAAAGATGGCAAGATGTGACTAGCAGTATGGATGAAAAATTAAACCAAATTAAAGAAGACACAGAGTGGAAAATAGATGTTTTATATCAAGTGGCAATGACTTAAGGAAAAGCACCAAAAAGCCTTGTCAATGGAATAATATTGTCTTCTTTTCAATAAAAGGCTCTATTATTAAAATCACGTTTGGTGGGGCCGGGGATTTAGTTTAGTGATTCCTCTGCCTGCCTTCCAAGAACTAGGTCCTGAGTTCGATCCCGAAATAAACAAAACAAAACAAATGAAAACATGTTTGGTGGGGTAACATTCCAATTAATTTATGGCTGCAATTACATTTGGATTTGGGAGCAAGAGATTTGTCCAAGGTCTTCTTGGAAAGCTCACGGCTTAGATGTCCCTTCCTTGCTAATAAAGGTATAAATGGATT